CCAACTATGAAAAGGGTAGCAAGGTTTATAGGTGCATCGCACTTTTCTTGCTTTCCCGGTAACCGGTTTTTGATGTAAATTAAAGGTTTCTGTTTTTATTGTATGTTTATCTGTGTTCACATATTCAGACTGTCAGTCTTGTTGTTACCAAAATAAAAATCAATCAATCAATCAATCAATCAATCAATCAATCAATCAATCAATCAATCTTACAGTTCATCTTTTCATACATTTCATGATGTCATCTTTTCATCATTTCATACATTTCATCCTTTCAGGCATGTCAGTGTTTTATGGTTCATAGATTTCAACATCCAGTGTGTTTTTTGTCGGGAGGAAAAGGCACACGTTTCATGTTTTTTGCTGTTACATGTGAATTTCGTTGTATCTATGTAAAAGCTATTAGTGGCTATAGATCCGGAATGTCGGGAGTGTTTTTTCTCACCCTATTTCAAGTGTGTAATTGTGAGCTAATGAAAATTCAAAAGTCATCATCTTTGAAGTTTCAGGTTCCCCTTGATGCTTTTAATTAAATACAAAATTACAAAATTAGGTGCAAGCTCCGCGCCCGACCAAACTTTATGAAACTAAGGTGGTATATGCAGAATTTCAAGGCGAATCCGACAGCGGGCTTCTTATAATTACATCTTGAGTTTTTCATGTGTCGCCACAGTCTCTACGATTTATTATAGTGAATTTAGGCTGTTTTTTCTGTTCGGTCACTTTTTTTCTTCTCTCTTTTCTCCTTTCCACGCGTACATTTTATCTGTTTTTTTCTTTTATATAGGCAATACATTCGACCATCGAATAACAGATAGAACAAAATTTATTCTAAGTTTAGTTTCTTTTAAATAGACGCCTGTAAGTTCAAATCAAGCAGAAACAGTGATAAACTCAAATTTTTACATGGAATTATCATCTATACCACTTTTAATATTTTCCTTTATCAAAGACAATTGCTCATACAACTTTTTTCACCAAAAACATCAGGATTATAGCAAAAGGTTTTATGACATTTTTTATTCAATAAGTCAAAAGAAATAGAATGAGAAAGAAAAGTCAGAACCTTTTGTTATAATCTCGATGTTTTTGATGAAAAACGTTACTTACTATAGCGAGCAGTGGAAGAGTGGGTGGTGCAAGGAAATTATGGTCAGGTGGTAGGTCGAGGTTGGGTGTCTGGAAGGGTACAGGTGATGGTGGTGGTGATGAGTCGGTTTCTGGTGGTTGAGTGTCTGTATGGTTTTCCATCCTAAAAGGTGAAAGAGGATTTTATATTGGTGTCTGTTTGTCACTGACTAACGGTATTACGGTCAGTTATGTGAGGGTGAGGGTTGTGTGTAACGGTTGACAAACAGTTGCCTTTCTGTGAGGGGTACAAAGTGTAATCCCGTCTCACGGAAGGGTTTTAGTAGACTAAGAGGTGAGGGTTGTATAGGGTTTTTGCTTGTTTTATAAAAAGAAATTAAAATGCTTTTCGTTTTTATATTTTTATTAAAAACTTGGTGAAAAAAGTTGACAAAAAATTGGGGGAAAAAAAAAACTAATAAGGGTAAGGGTTTTTAGGGTGTATGCCGGGCAAAACGTTTTCGACGGTAGTCTTCTTCAGTGACCGGCTAGTATAGGTGGGGGGGTTATATGGTTGCTCCTAATGATATAGGGGCCTCTCAAGCTTACATAAGTGTTATGAGTAAATACCTATAACGCTGATGTGTTCATCCTGGTGAAGGGTGATGGAATGAGGAGATGTTGGGGTATATATAGGGAGGTAGTGTTATTTTGATTGGTTGGCTTTTTGATGAGTAATCTCAGTTAGTAATGCGTCTACGCACTTTTTAGTGCATAGATGCATTACTTTTAGTTGTACATGTGAGCTAAAAAATCTCATTGGTCAGATTTTTGACCAATGAAGTTTTGGTGAGTCATCAGTCATACTGACACACTTATGCATTTGCAAGTGCATAAGTGTGTTATTTTTCGGTGTGAGAATTCTCATTGGACAAAAATTTGACCAATGAGATTCGAGGGACGAGTCCTAATTTATTTTGATTTATTTAAAATCTGATTGGTCTAATTTCGACCAATGAGATTTTATGGGTGAGTCATCACTCATAATAACACACTTATGCATTCGTAAGTGCATAAGTGTGCTGTTCTTGGTGTGGGAATTTCGATTGGATGGGAACTCGACTAATGAGATTCAAGGGGTGAGTCATCATGTATTTTGACTTATTTATGCATTTATAGATGCAACTGCATAGGTGTGTGGTTTTTTAGAGTGTGTTTCATTGGTGCGACTTTTTACCAGTGGCATTTTTGCGTATGAATGCAATTGAAATTATGCGGTACGAGTAAGCGGGCTCCTGTATGTGGGTTGCTGCAGGTGTACTGTGGGAAATTGGAGATATAGGGAAAGACTGTATGACCTTTTCAAGGTCGCGGAAGAAATTTATGCTATTCTGGCATTAATTCGTTGGTTTGGAAGGCGAAGGGCCTAGATATCAAACAAGATGATGTTATTGGATCCAACACATTGCATGGAAACCGTTCAAAATATTAATCAAGCGGGAAGGGCGATTGGTTGGAGGGATTGGGAAGGATTAGGTGCGGCTTTTAATGAGTTTCCACCATTTTTTCTGAGTTGTAGGTCCTCGAACATGATCTGGATCTCAAAAATCTCGAAAATCTCGAATTTTGCAACTCATTCGATCCGACACTCTGTCAAAATATTTTAAAAACGTTTGTCTCAGAAGTCCCACGTCTTGTTTTCATCAATAGTGAGTGGCAAAAGACTCACGTGCCCAAAGTTGTACAAGAAGCCATTCCAGTTTCCATACGGTTTTATCCTCGTTTTTCACCTTTTTTCCTGCAATTTTCTATGACTACCGGGAGGGTTTGACACTGAACGCACCTAAGATTTTGGTTTTCTATACGAGAAAAACTCTAAACTAGTTTTCGAAAACTCATCGCGGAACTACATCTATAACTTTTTAGTTTCGTTTTCTGGTGTTGTTGAATGTTTTGAAACAATTGTTTCTTTTATTTTGGATGGATTTTCTACAACGCCTCGTCCTGTTTGTCTGATATAATAACCATTCGAGCCGTAGCATTCATACCCATAGGCAACTTTACTCTCACTAGTACGAATGTTCTGTACAAAAATTTCATAGAACTGCACTCAATTGCAAAGAAACGTGCTACTGAATGAATTGGATTTCAGTTGTTTTGGCTTTAAAATTAAACGCATAGTTTACGTATTGATTTTTATAGGGGTCCTATGAAAAAGAATGTGTATGATAAAAGGTTTTCTTCTCAAAATATTCTGACATATCACTTATTATACAAATAGACACTTGTTTATTTAGTCTTCAAGTCTCTGTTTCTCTCTCCGCTTTGTTGTTTTTGTTGTGAAAATTTTCTTTCGTTTGCCTCGTTCTTGTATAGAGTGAAATCAATCAGCAAAACCATTTATTTTATCTCCTTCAGTTCTTTTAAATGCACGTTTAGGCAGTAACTACCTATGCACATATGCCTATGCGATGTTCGCATTTTAATATGCCAATTGCCAAAAAGAACCTTGTAAGTGGTACGAAATTGCTTGAACAAAAATAGCGAAGTACAATATATCTGATTCTAAAGATTTAGTCAAAAGAATGATAGATGAAATCGACAGAACCGTAAGTAAAACCAGTAGCTTCCTTCTGCTTTGAAGTAAAGATATTATAAGTGAAGATATTTTAAAGACAAAAGCCATCAGACACTTGGGAAGGTTGTAAGAAATATTTTCAAAAAGTGACCAAAGTTCATATGTCGTATTAATCACTGCAAACAAAATTTAACAGTTAAAGTTGAAAAATTTTACTGGTTATTCGATTTATTTTAATAAGGGATGGGATACGTGATCACGCAGTAACGACGATATAATTATTATTACAAAGTACTATTGGTTAAAAAGATTAGTTTACTTATTGAAAATAATTGATTTCCTATATTGTAGTACTATTATTTGTAATTGACTGATATAGAACTTTTGAATGTACCGCTATTAACGGAAAATTGTTTATTAGCGAAGGTAAACGGGATCTAATACCAAAGAGAAATACATTTGTTCTTTATAGTGATAAGTCATTCATGTAGCTTTAAGTTTTAGATTTTCGGATGAACTATGCCATTGAATGAGATATATGGTGGTTTCAAGCTGAGTGAAACTCTGCTGCTTGATGAATGTTCGGATAATTGTCGTATATTAGAACTTCAAGAATCAAAAAATATTGAATTTTATACGACATTTTACAAATATGAATACTTGTCTGCAGTACATTAATAATAATCAAAATAAAGGTCTATATCTTTATTTCGTACGAAAATATCTTACAAATATCTATCGAGTTAGCAAAATATATGCAAATTAAAAAATTTTTTATATGCTTTAAAAATGAACGAAATTGTGATTTTGTGAGGAATTGATCAACACGTTATCAAAAATCTATTGGATACATATTTTACGCAGCTGAATTATTTTATCAATTAACATATTTCAGTACTGATTACTGTAAATCCGTTGACGATAAAAATATAGAACTACAACGAGATCAATTAGCCAGATTTAACGATGAAGATATTAAAAATTTGTGCACATCGCTGGCATCATATAACTCATCTCTGATTAAACAACAAACAAAAAAAATAGTCAATAGCTGAAGAATCTGATTCAAAATCTGCTCGTTTAAGTATTGCCATCATAGATCATGATAGAAATGAAATTAATAAGTCAATTTTAAATAGTTAAATGAGACAAATAAATTTGAATAATGCGGCTAATTTTTAACATTTTCATTCAAGTAATAGTCTACAGATGATGTGCCAAATTGTTCCTGCTCAGTTCTGTGTATATTTATTCTTTTGTTAACATACTAAGATTTATTTGTTGGAATGTTTTTTTAGTATTATTGGTATTTTATACTTTACTTCGCTGCTGTTCGATTTCAGACCAGTATTTTCAGACGAATATGTATTTTATTATTTTTCACACATGTAAAAGTACACATTGTCAAAGTACAAAGCAAACAGCAAGCTCACTTGGTTGAGTGGGTAAGTAGCTTGCTTTGTAATTTGTCTTTCTGTTCATAGGTACCACGATCGAATCCCGTCGACGGCACTATCATCCAATATGCACTTCTTTCTAGTAAGTCAAGCTTTTCTCATATCGACACACACTCTGCTGGCCAATAGACAATGAAACCTTAGCTAGTAATTAAAAATACCCCCCCAAAAAATCTTTTTAAAAGTATATTTTTAAAAAAAGAAAAAGCGCGTTTAAACGCTAACAAATGGTGCACTTTCGGAGCGATTAAACGCAGCAAAAAACGCGTTTTCAGACGCGTCTGGGATTGAAAAATATTTACATGGGATATACTCTGTATACAGAGTCACATGCAGACGTGCGCGATTACAATTACAAAATGTAAAGTTCATACATTGCTATTATCTGTCAAATCAAGAATTCTAGAATTCTGAACTTTACATGCATGCCTTTACGCCCATGCCTGCGATCACATCTTTCTTTGTAAAAGCCTCTCAAAACGCCATGTATTTGTGTGAAAGTGTCGAAATTTATTTAGTTTATTCTTCACTAAAGAAGAACATGAACATGAACCACCCTCACCCCTAGAATTTTAGACTTCTGAACAAGTAAAGTTCAGAATTCTAGAATTCTTAATTCTACAAATAATAGCAATGTATGAACTTTACATTTTGTAATTGTAATCGCGCACGTCTGCATGTGACTCTGTATACAGAGTATATAAGACGGGGAAAAAAGAAAAGAGTTGTATATATATATCAGAGGCGGAACCGGTCGGTTCCAAACCGAACCGAACCGAGCCAAAATCGGTTCGGTTCGGTTCGAGAAATTTCTTACTCGCTGAGAGGCCTGGTTCAATTTCAGCTACTTTTTTGTTTGGAAATTGAAAGAGAACACCTTAAAAAGTGCTACTGCACGAAAGATAGATGTCATTCTTAATTTAGTCAGTTTAACACTCGTCTGATTGAACTCTCGTATATACAAATGATAAACTGATTGTCTCTTTCTTTATACATTCGTTATCCATACTTGTTTGCAACAATGAACGATATTATTCCTTCCCTGTCGTATTCAAACTATGTTTCTTCTTTTGTCCCTGTATAGTCAACGAGTTCTCATTTTCCTATGTTATCTGCTTCATCGCATGAGAGATACATAACATAAACGATCACGCTTTGTCTCAAATACAAAAAGAAGGAATCATCACTATCATCGATAAAAATTCCAATGCAGCATGCTGGACAGTTTTTGGTCTATCTGCTAAATTAGTGGATCCAGAAAGATATCAAATCATAAACGACAGAGCGTCTTGAAACTAGGTGAGTCTCATAGTATTTTCTTCTCCTCTCTCATCGAACTTTTACCGAAGCGTCAAGCAGAATACGGTGCTTGGAATGCGAACTTGCAGTACACATTTTTTTCCAACTTTTTATACAACGTTAGATAGAGCTCATCGAGCTGATTAATGAAATGTATATTTCAAAAATGTTTCAAAAATTTTTTCTATGTCAAAAAATTGAAAATACTTCAAGAATGTAAAAACTCGAAAAATGCCCGAAATCAGGTGAGACGGAACCTCAATTGGCGGATTTTTCGGTTCGGTTCGGTTTAAAAGTTTTCCCCACAAGAAACTCGACTTTTTTCCGGCGTAAATCGACGTCACTTGAGGAGAACGTGAAAATTTTTCCTGCAGAGACCAGATGTTTCTTCACAAGAACTTCACCTTTTTTCCTGGAGAACTCGGTGTTTTCTCACAGGAACATCATGTTTTCGCGACAAGAAATAAAGGATTCTTCACAAGAACTTCAGCTCTTTTCAAGGAAAACTGGTTGGCTCTTCACAAGAAACTCTACTGTTTTCCGGCGTAAATCGACGTCACTTGAGGAGAACGTGATAATTTTTCCTGCAGAGACCAGATGTTTCTTCACAAGAACTTCACCTTTTTTCCTGGAGAACTCGGTGTTTCTGCGCAAGAACTTCAGCTCTTTTCCAGGAAAACTGGGTGGTTCTTCACAGGAACTTCATGTTTTCTCCTGGAAAACTCGGCGCTTCTTTACAAGAAACTCGACTTCATTCCGGCGTTTTCCGCTGGAAAACTCGGCGCTTCTTGAAAACAACTTCATGTTTTCTCCGGGAAAACTCGGTGTTTCCTCACAAGAAACTCGACGTTTTCCGGCGTAAATTGAGCTTACTTGAGGACAACGTGTTAATTTTTCCCGCAGAGACTAGATGTTTCTTCACAAGAACTTCACCTTTTTTCCTGGAAAACTCGGTGTTTCCTCAAAGGAACATCATGTTTAAGAAATAAAGGATTCTTCACGGTTGATGTCATCAAGTTCAAACGCAACCAAATCGTATTTTTATGATAGTTGCACTGCCTTTGAGCTGGAATTTATCGCTAATACCTTTATCGTATTTGTCGATTTTACGGCATGCAATCAACTGTCGGTCACCATTCGAATCGAATTTTTGTGTTAGCCTGATAGTTGTTGTTTTTCTCTTCAGAGAATATCTAGAGTACGGAATCAAAACTTAGAACTGTAGAAAGCAACTGCCCAAAGGTTGTTCAAAAGAGGAATTCATATTCTATTTAGGGTCAATTAACAAATGGTAAAGTAACACCAAATGTAAGCTGATATATGAAAACTGGTTATGAAACGACATCAACGGACTTGATCTATGCAATTTATGTCTTAGGCACCCATTTGGGTATTCAAATCAGTTACGTTTGTAATTAACTGACTCATGCGATAATCCATCATCAAATGGATATTTGGATATTTTCTCAAAAAAAGCTCTCCGTATGTATCCGATAGTAATTTGAATAATTAAGAGAAGCTTCGCCAGAAAACCAAACTAAGTGCTAAGAAGTCGTGCGCTGACAATTTTTTTTCTAAAATTATTCACATGCCATTCGAAAGAGCATTCAAAATTACTACTAACCCTGCAATAACTCTTTCCAAAAGTGTTTTGTTTACTGAAAACCAAAGAGAAACAGCAAGATGATCTTTGGAAAACCAAGCCGTGTGTAAACATTTTCAAAAGGTTTGTATTGATTTTCTTCCATGCTATGAGCTCCTTCCGATGTTTATTGAGTGAATAGTGAAGTTTTTAGTAGGTGAAAACAGCCTGAAAACCCAAATTTTCATACAATCCTATTGAAAACGTTTACACACGTGCTAAACGCCATATCAATTGGTGTGGTTCCCTCGTAAGAAAGATTGACTAAACAAAGATTGAAATATCGGAGACTGCATTTATTTGTGATAAAACAAAAGAGTGTTGAGAATGTATATAGAGAGCAGCGAAGAGCGATGAGGAAGAGGATGTTATGTGACCACTACACACGTCAACCGGGATCAATTCTGCACAATAAATATAAAAATTAGTTTATTCCGGGATCAATTCTGCCGAAAATACTTTTTTTCGACATCCGGGATCATTTCTACTATTTTTATCAAAATTCTAGTATACGGGATCCTTTCTGTTTTTTTCCATTTTTGTCTTCGTGTAATCTCAAACCGTTTTATATACTTTATTCAAAATCGCAGACACGTAAAGACTTATTTCGTCTAGGAATAGATTTTGTAAGCGCCTCTGAGCGTCTGCAACATGAACAGAGGCATTTCAAAGGTGATAACAATTTTTTATGCTCTCAATGGCGATTTTTCACTAAAAACTGCCTAAATTATAAAAATTCATATCTTGAGAAAGTTTCGGTTTATAAGCCTAAAAGTCTCATAGGAAATAGGCAACATGTATCTCCATCAATGCTGAAAATTTCACACTTCTAACTGATCAACAAGATCGTGAGTTATTAATTAATTATTATTAATGACATTTTCATTAATTAACTCATATCTCGGTCAAATGGGTCCATGGGCACAAACCAACTTGGCTTTTTTCACTGCCCACCAGTCCTTGCATGATGGAAAAAGCGACTTATCACCTCAAAAGGTTCCCTCGTCAGTACGGTTTTCTTTTCTTTGTTATAAGCTATTATATTTTCTTTTATTTTCTCGGCAATTGTTAGCAAATGTCTACAAAAACGATGAAATCTGCTTATGAGTATATGAATGAGGCTTAAATGTAAAAGGACAAAAACATATCCGAATTATTTTATTTTTTATGCTAATAAAATCCAAGTCTTTTAGATACAAAAATAGAAGAGGTTTTTATTGTCTGAAAATAGAACTATAATCAGTATAACTAGGATTATCATCTTCAGTGATGGGAAAAAAATCATAGAATTCTTTTCGATATGCTATTTCACATTGTTTCGCTCTTTGTCGAAATTGATTCATAATAGTTTGAGTATTAGCCCAGCAAAATTCTCTTGATAAATCAATTAACAACATTATATCATTTCCTTATACTATATGAACACAATCTAATATTGATAAACCGAGTAATGCAAATGTCATAGATTCAGATTTCATATCAGCAGGAATATTTTATAAGTACTCTATATAATTTTTTATTCGTACGTTCCCATCTTCATCTAATTTTTTTGATGCCAGAAGATCTATCATGTGTTCTTTTGTTAAATGAAAACGTAGTTCTTGGATGATAATTTCACGGGATGCACCTGATAATCATACTGGAATACTTGTACGTATGGTTTTGATGTGTAATACAAGTGGTTTAAATGGACCAGTATTTGAAGATTCTTCTATAGACCACTGATACTTTTTATCTCCAAATTCTTGAAATATTTTTTGTACGCCATCCGTTAACGGTAATAATATGGAATTGCAACCATTGTCTATTACGCAAGCTTCAACTTGGATGGATCCAAAATGATTGTTTGTTCCTTGGATCATGTATCGACCAGTTGGACTCTTGACAGCAAACGTTAATAAACTAGAGACACTGGGAATCATTTTTGATGGTGAAGATATTGATGTTGATGTTTTTGATTTAGCAAGTATTCTAGGAAAAAATGGTGTTGATGGAGATTTTTCTGTTATTGAATCCCCACTATCTTGTTCTTCAGCAGCTCTCTAAAATAAACGTACAAATACACTAGTTCATTCGTGGTTTTTAATAATAAAAGTGAACGCAGGATACCTTTGATTTTGTCTTTCAAGAAAAATTCAAGAACTCGACAGACTGAGAAAAAATATGAATAAATTCACCTACGCCGAACAAAGAGAAATAGCTTTTGCCAATTGCATTAAAAGTCCTTAATAACTGCACCCAGGGAGAAATTTCGGACCCTCACAGGCATTAAAATTTTAACACCTTAAAAGCTTCTTTTGACACATTTTAAGCCTTTCCATTACTTGAGATTTTTAACGCGTTCTCTGAAGTTACCCATGTGAACTGAAGACGTTCGAATGCGTTATTTTTATAAAAGTCTGTAATGTATGTAAAATTTTAATGCATTGTAACGTCTTTAGAAAACTTTTTGGGCTCTAACACTTCTGAGGAGTTCGAACGCCTTCCGGTTTCTTAGCTGACATGAATTCATACATCAAGTAGAAGGCATTAGCAGAATTATAATTTTTAATGCGTTTGTGCAAGTTAAGGGTACGAAGGCATGTAAACAACTGTTTACCGTCATCGTCATTTAATGCAGGGGAATGCATTAGAAATCAATGCATGTTCAGTCATTCCAATTTTCCGTAAGTACTTAAACTCATTATTTCGCCTATTTGGTCTTCAATAAATGTGAACGCCTTTGCTATCATATCGCGAACTCGTTCGCATGCAAGAGGCGGTTCGAAGGCCTGCAACACTTTACAAGCGTCGTTCCAGGCCCATCTGTATAGTTGTCATCCTCAACCAAATAGCGTTACTGTATATTCCGCAAAGAAGAAAATATTTAAAATGCGGCTAACCCTTTGAGAAAAGCTTAAAAGCAGAGAAATAACGTATCCTACCTCAGTGCTGTTCTCGAAATTTAAAAAGAATGCGCTCCAGCAAAATGCTTATAACTTTACAAAAAGAAAGCTAGAGACCTGTAGTTTTCAGATTCTAAAACTAGAAACTTTGAAACATAAACCTATGAAACAATCAGGGCTTCCGTTCAGGTTTTCCATGGCGTAACATTCGAAGCAAAATCCGAAATCTTACCGTTTCCAAACCACCCTATGAAAGCCAATCCCAAATAATACCAGTAGATAGCCAAAACATTTATCTTCAAAACTACGCAAGGCGCAGGTCTTCATCTCCTTTGGTTCCGGATATACACATGTTTTCAGACGACACACCTATCTCGTTGCAGACACGTCTGGGAATCTCCGAAATATGTGGATCATAGGTAATCGATCACTCTAATCATCGTGGGGATGTTCGTTTCATTCCCCACTTAACTACAACCCCAGAAAAGCCATTTTGGGGATTTTCGCCTGTTACGGTCAAAAATTAAAAGCCGTATATTTCAGTTATTTCTCGTCCAAAAAGACTGAAATTTTCCGAGAATGATTGATCATAGAACGTAGGTCGAGTCGAAAACATTACATAGGATTTTCACTTTACGCATAGGATTTTTTAGCGGATCTCTGGAAAACCTCCCACGAAACCATAGTTCAGCTCAGCATTTTCTCAGATTTACCCTTGACGCCATATGATCAAGGTACTAATTAGCGATTTTCCCGTTGATGACTCTGTCAAAAGTAAAGAGTAAGATGTGCAATCGATAGAGCATGTAAAGTTCTATCTGGAGCCATCAATAATAGAGTTGTTACCAGTGAAGAAACGAATTGCTGCAGTATTTTCTCAGATTTACCCTTGACGCCATATGATCAAGGTACTAATTAGCGATTTTCCCGTTGATGACTCTGTCAAAAGTAAAAAGTAAGATGTGCAATCGATAGAGCATGAAAAGTTCTATCTGGGGCCATCAATAATAGAGTTGGAGCCAGTGAAGAAACGACGGTATTTGACGGTAATCGCTGGGTTTCTCCTTGGTAGTATGATAAGCTTTTAGAGCGACAGGTGGAACACAAAGCGCTGGTGCGGTACTGCTTGCAGCCAACGGAGGTGGAGTTGGAACCAGTCTGTGGGCGAATCCTTTCAGGAATTGCTCCAGTCCTGACCTAGGATATACTACGTGAATGTGACTATAACCAAACCGCTAGAAAGTGAGTTTGATTTGGAAAACTGGGATCAATATTCAATAAACACTTTTTACAAATATTGTATATTAAACTTTGTATTACCGAGAATTAATCTTACAGATAATGCCCAACAGCTGGAACTAATCGGTCCAATGCATGGTGTTAAAGAAGCACAACAATAATATGAACTAATGTCAGAAATATTGAGAGAAAAAGCTGCGACAACGACTCTTAAAGAGCCAAAAACATCTAACAAAACGCCTTTCCAGACACAACGATCCGAAACATTCAAAAAAGTTGTGAATAGCGATGTTGCTGATTTATACAACATTAAGTTGAGCTATTATAAGGAGGATAAAATTATTTGTCATTATCTTGCTGATCGTCTAATTGATGGAGGCTATTCTGTGTGGATCAATCGCGATCAATCATCGACAGCAACCGAATCTAAAATACGAAAATCAGATGTTTTCCTAGTTTACTTCAGTGAAGATTACGCCAAAAGTATAAATTGTAAACCGGAAATGAAATATGCAAACTCGATAAAGAGAAAAGAGAATATTATAGCAGTTAGAGGAGCTAATCACAAAAGCAATTCGAGTTGTGACAATAACTGGCTAAATTTAATAACAATTGCGGAATAATATTATGAGAAATTCCGAATATATCGTAGACAAAAAATTTGGAGACAGGCTTGATATAAGCTTTATTCTGTCAGAATACAAGCGGAAAAATATTCCATTATAAATATTCCTAAAACTATCGAAAAACATAAAATCAATTCT